TCGATCGATGCATTGTTTCGGAGTTAGACTACATTTGCAATCGTAAAAAATCATTGCCCAAAAATTTTCACGAGAAATTTCCATTTTCTCACAAAATAACTTCTTTTAAAATACTGTGCGAACAAAACTAGTTGGCTGGGTACAAATGTCAACTGAATCATAAATTAAAAACGTCTAATTTTACGGATATGATAGTAGCAGAATGTTGGCGCCATTGGAAGTACTAGATTGCAGAAATTTTTCCAGCAGCCTACGTACATACATAATGATATGTATATTCATTAAAATGACAAATAAAGAATGAAAGATATGTCCAATATGAAATACTATATTTACAAATCTATCGTACATCTTTAAAAAAAAAAGAAAAACGTCGCGGTATTCAAGAAATTTTATGTAAAAATTTTATGTAAAAAAATATAAAATATATGGCTTGATAAAATTAAATGCTTGAAAGCCTGAAAACATTATTTAATATGATTTTATTAAATAATGTATGAACATGCGTGTAATTGCACTAAATGCGACGAGTGTTACAAGCAAAATGATGTGATTCTTACTTTCGATGCGTCCGATTGTTGTCACTTCGGTTTACGGTGGCAATTTCTAGAACAGATCGAAATACAGAAATGAGGTTTGGCACACATTCGATGGGTAGCCAAAGATTCAATTCAAGCTGATTTTGTGCGACGTTGTTACAAGAAAGTTAATCAAATTTATTATTCAATAATGTTATATGTCAATTAATTAACAAAGTTAACAGATTATTTTAAAAGAAATTAAATGTATCAGCCGTACGTCATTTTTTATAAGCACAAATTTATTCATGACTAATGAATTGAGATCAAGCGCGGCTTAAATTGAAACTTCAAGTATCTACTGAAAATGCGTGAAACCAAGATTTTCTGCGTTCATCCATTCCAGATTGTGGATCGTGGAACTCGAGAAGATTGTTATGTTTTTCGAACAATTGTGTCGACTGTTTTAAACTTTTTGTGTATTTCTTTCCTTTTCTCGTTTCAACTTTGTTAACGAGATGAAATTGAAAATATCGTATGATAGATATGTGTGCATGTTTGCGAACCGCAAATAAACTTTGCTTATCACTATGATTAAGAAATATCAAATTTTAGGAGATTAATGTTTCGCAATCAGGAGGAAGATTAATAGCTTACTGTTTAATGTATCCTTGATTGTTTTCACTATGATCTGCCATAAATGATCGGGATCTATCTCCACGAAACCAGGTGCTGGATAGATCAGTTCTACCTAAATTAATAAAAAAAAAAATAAAGCAGACTATCTGTATTTACTTACGAATTTACTAATTTATAATTGAACGTAATTGTGGATCAATATTCTAAGAAAATTTAGCACATTGTGATATACGACACGAATACACATTCTTGTTTATGTCTCTATGCACGTGAAATAGAAAATAATTCATTGCTATTGGCAATGACCTTTGCATCGTACGTACTTAAATCGATGTTCAGCGCCTATAAATGCATTCGAGGAATGTAATATGCATATATCCTATGTTGCATATATGCTATTGTTTTTACTGAATTAACAAACTTTAAACTCTCTCAAAGAAATCCATTATTGTAATAATTTGTTTATCTTAACTTTAAAATTACTTTTTGACCAGATTTTTGGCATTATTTATTTTATCTACTATCGAAAGCATTTCTGAATAGATACATAATAATTAACAAGAGCCAATTTTTTTTTTTAAATCTATTTTATTCAATCTTTGCGACAATAATCTATGAATCATATTCTAATTATAATTCTTTGCACGTGTACAGACTTAGTGGCAATCTTACTAATCATAGTTTTTTTAATCGTTGAGTTTTTTTAATCACGAGTTTATATAACGAAAATGACGTTAACATGTTATATAAGGCGGTATGTGGTCTTTTGCGCACTGAATCGAAACATATGTTTAAAGATAAAATAGGCAACCTGTGCTATATTTACCATCAATACACAAATTGTATTATTAACTGCACAAGTATATTACAATTCTTATAATTTTATTTATTTATCTTTTACTTAAAGTCAATATGTATTTTTTTAAATCTTTTGTCGGTGATACTATATCGGTAATCAATATTTTCCGAATACTTGCTTCAATAATTCGTTATGTGTCTTTCATAAATTTGACTTAGAATTTTTTGGCTGTTTGTACTTTCTTATCATATCATATACCAAAATATCGGTCTGGTCGATATTTAGCTAGATAACTAACGCATTAGATCATTTCTCAATAATTTTAAAATATAGCAATATCTTTACATATCTTTTTTTCTTTTAAATGTGTCGTACGAATTATTAGTACGCACAATGTTATGTATATCATGAGTTTAATATTTGCTTTGGTTTATCAATTTCATTATCAGCGTGGAGCATAAATGACTAATTCTTTTATCAATTTCCGCCCGCACGTAAAATATTAATATAATATGTAATATATAATGTATCACATAATGTAATGGTGCATAATAACGGCAAAAATGTTTATAAATGTATTATAAATAAAATATGTATTATAAATGACATTGCAATTTCTTTAATAATGTATTCTTAAAAAAACATTACAATGTCGCTTAGATATGTATGATATTTAGCATATTTACATATTAAATATAATCAAAGTAAATAATCGTGATACATTCTCTAAATAATACATATTAATACATTTAAAACAGCTTTGAATTAATGCTCACTGATGCTCACTGATTTATTTAATAATAATAACTAAAATAACAATATTATTTTTTTTTTAAATTGGAGAAATAAATCTATTACGTAAGCAATTATCACTTTCGACAATTTTCTAATTATTTTATAATAATTTTATAATAATTAGTTTTTTTAAATAAAAAATATGGATTGTGTTCAATCCAGCGGCATATTATTTTAATAACTCATGGTAATCTCTTTATTCTTCTTTCTGGTAAATTGGAAAATACCGCTCCGCTCTTGATTAATTATAATCACATCTTAAAAAGAGTATCATTTTTTAAGTAAAATAAAATGCTACATTATTCCAGGCAATGCTACGATCAACTTCAATCCACTTTAGCTAAATTAAATACAAAATATTTGAATCACACGTTAGAAATCACAATTCATGTTTACGATGTGTCATCCGAGTTTTTCGAAACGTGAACCATTTAAATATTTATTAAAAAATGACAAAAAGCATGACAAACCTTTTCTGTCGATGAAGCAATCGTAACGGCCTTCTCGTTCAAAATATGAAAACGCACCGTGGTGGTGCCCACGTCGAGCGCCGCGACGTACCTCATGGTATCTCTTTACTCTGCTTTCCAGTAAATTGGAAAATACTGCTCTGTTCGAGCGATCACGCACTCACGATCAACCGTGGAATGATAACTTTACACTTCATAGGTCGTGATGTCTAACATCGATGTGCACCGATTAATATTTGCTGTGCGGTTTTTATATTGAGTTACCAAGGACGAGGAGCGGTAAAAAACGCTTAAAAATGCAAGAAAAAATTTTAATAATTTATCCAACGATCGATGATCAACACGGTTCAATCGATCGTTGTAGCACACTCGCTTATCGCGACTCGACTGCCTTTTAACGTGGTGCATCACGCATGCTCTGATCCGCAGTTTTATCGAGACTCATGGCCACATACTTCATAGAATGAAACGACTACCGGTTGTTTTGTATGTATGCAGCGAGTGGGGCACATGTGCAGATTACAGAGCGTACGCTATAATCGGGGCATTCGCCTTCAGTATGGCGTATGGCGCATGCACTTATGGCTGAAACACGCCACCAAAAAATCAACAATTTTATTACTGTTTATCGTCAGTTTCTTTCACTGTGCGAACTTAATCAATGATCATCAGAAGCCGTATAGCTACTGTGGTCATAGCTATCGCGGCTGCGATCAATATTGCTCCAAGTATTCTATAACTAAAAGCGTTTAAGGACATATTAGTTTAGGTTTCTTGGAGACTCCGTTTCGTAAGACTCCCACATGTTTTTCTTTGCTCTACTCTTACAATGATACAATATAACGGGTTGTCATTTCATCTAATCATTAATCTTAAATTAAAATTATCAATTAATCAAAACTTATTAAAAATTTTGTAAAAGCTACATTTTATATATTATTTTAGTTAAAATTTTATAACAAAATTGTATTTTAAAATTAATTTTAAATAAAAAAATAGAATTAGTTAAAAAATCAAAAGGCGAGAATCTGAAACATTTTATGCAATGCAACTATTATGTTATCATTTACAATTAATATTCAACTGTTTTATTTTTAATTTGCTGTTTAATTACTTAATCGTTAATTATCGCGTGACACTTGTCATCCACGTAAAAAGCATGACATGGCACATTATGTCACGCACATACAATTGATATGACACGCTTAGAATGCTATTTAGCGTTATTATGTGCACTGAAAGAATTTTGAAAGCTTCGTATTTGTAACAATATATTAATCAACTGTAGTAGTTTAAACCTTATTTAATTATCTAATCAACGAAACAGATTATCTAATGATAAAGCTCTCTATTTATCTTGCAAGACTTTACGATCCGCATGCTCGCACCGTCCGCACCAGAGAAAGATCAACAGTAAATACCGGATCACGAGGCTCCGAAAATCTCACTATTGCCACCTGTTACTCATATTCCTGTATCTATCTCTTTTTAATCGCGCGCAATACAAATCTCATTTAATAAACTCTAACGAAATATAGAGACAACAAGTAAAATAAATAATTTGCACATAAATTACATTTCTTAACAAATACTATAAGTGAGATTTAATAGAGTATAAAATTTATACTTAATTTTAAGTATAATTTTAAGTATAAAAAGATTTGAATGAAATAACACTTATTTTTTATCCATTTATTGATCAAGTTTTTGTTTAAAAAATTGTTTTTCTTTTTGTGTAAAAACCGAATTATGTTATAGCAACCCAACTAACACAGAGCAACGCATGATAACAGTGACTTAGGCGTGCGTTCTCATATATTGTATTTTTCAAATCTCCAATGTGAATTGTCCGCGATAGATAGATTAATACAAAATATATTAAGTTTTTACATAAAAATTTATAATTGCATAATATTGCATTCACATAGATCGAGAAATATTTGTTGCTTTAATTATAAATAATTAAAAGTCGTAACATTTTTCTGATTTACTATTACTTTGATATTGTTTTACTAAAAATTTATGAGATATATTTATTCAAATTTCAAAGAAATTTAAAGCAGTGATTATATATAAATATGTATTTTTATTAAAACATAATATTTGTTAATTAAAAATATTTTAGATTATATAAAATTTTACCAATTTTCTTCTTCTTTAAGAGGAGAATTTATGATGTGAAAATGCTTATCGGACAACGTAGTATCTAGATGTTTTTGTTGGATATCATGATGTGTTTTGCTGGAATATACGTCATCAAATATAAAAACGACAGTCATAAGTACTGTTACGCCGGCAAAGATAATCCACATAATCAGCTCTAATGTAATCTGTGAAATAATGTTAAATTTTAAATGAAATAAATATATAAAAATATAATAAAATATATAAATAAAGTAGTTAATTATCAAACCTTACCTCAATAATTACTCTTAGAATCGTTATTATATGATTTCTCGCGGAGATCCATTTCCAAATCATAAACGGCAGTAATATAAGAAGTAATAATAAGTCGAGCGCGTGTATGACAATTACACAAATGATTTTGTTTACTTGAAATAGACTCCACACTTTCTTGTACATGCTGTTACATTATACATATTGTGTAAAAAATATGTATTAATCATTGTAGATATATATAACATTTTTATTTCTCAAATTTAATAATAAAATATTTTAATTATATTTGCACACTATACAAGTATAACAAATATAAAAAAATAATTTTGTTATAAAAAAGGTTAACAAATTGAAGAAACATATTGCTCACATGACGTTTAGTCTCTTAACAGCACATTTTTTAAATCTTGATCTTCTGTTTAGTATATTTTTATATTTAATACATTTACTTTTTAAATTTACACAATATTAAATTTCATTTCTTATTCTCTCAAAATCTCTAGATTTCCTAGCCTATAATGTGTCAAATAATAGTAGAGAAATTAAACGTGATTACTTGAAAGTATTTTGCAGCAGTTCTGTCTTTCAAATTGCATAACTACTTCATGCATAATAATATTAATTAAATTTGCAAATCAAGCAAATATTAATAAACAGAAATTATAACACGTGTAATTTATTATCCATGCATTACACAGTTGTCAAACAATTTTACAAGCTTATTGCTATTAATAATCGAACGTCAAAGTTTATAACTTCGCACGATTCTAATGTTAACCAAATACTAATCAATTTTTTCAGAAAAAGGTTTGCATAACTTGTTTTATATTTACGTTTTGCCTTAAATAAATAAAACTTCCTAACAATTAATTTTTAAATTGTTATATAAAAAAGATATATCCACATAAATAAATAGGCAAATAATCTTTATGGCATTAAGAATTTATTTATTTAATAGCGCGCTAGATATACATATTGCAATAATAATAATTAATGGGTAAATCTATATACGACTCTGTTTAGAATAAACAAATTAATCTAATAAGTCAGCATATTATTATCTAAAACTAACACTATTTTTTATAATACTTTTTGGTATTGCGCATAAGAAGCAATGTCATAAGTTCAACTGTACATATGCGAAATACTAATAGCAAATTTTATTCGCAGTAAACTTCTAAAAATCGATGCAATCTTATTATTTTAATGATGTGCAATGAGCATTGGCTTATGTTATTAATTTGCAACTTAATGCTATTATTCAAATCAACGATCTATTTTTCCTTTTTTTAATAATAATTTTGCATAAATAAATACAAAGTACTTAAAGCATGTACTAATTATAAATCAGACAACTACGCTCAAACAATACCCAAATAAATATTTTTACACTTTCAAAATAATGATTTTTGGAAATTTTTATTACAAACCTAATTATAGTCTGTGGTTTTATTCTTTACATTATTATTTACGGTTTATTTGAATTTTAAAAAGAGAATCTAATTTTGCATTTATATTGACTGTGAAATCTAATAAACATTCAGCTTGTTAACTTTGACAGGAAATACATTAATGCTCACACTTTCTTTGGTAAAAACAGTCAATGATTGCAAGGTTGATGAATTGCATGCCGATGATTTCTGTGCGCTACGTTTCTCGCTTGTTTCCGTCTTTCTCTGGCGGCCACTTGCTGTCTATAGACGAAAAGCGGTCTGAAGACCTTCGCATCTTGCGCTTCCATGTCCTCCGCTTCATTGCCGGTTTTTTCTTCGACCTTGTTCTCGGATCCGATGCGAACGGATCTTCTTGCTCTGATATCTTGATGTTGTGATTCCAATCTCGCAGACTGGTCCGTGTTCGGCAATGGTGATTTTTCGATAAAACCGTTGGTTTTCACATTAATTTTCGGCAATCCATAGGCTTCGACCTGGAAAATAAAAATACAGTGTTAGTCAGATATTAAAGATTACTCAATGTATGTGATAATGTATTATTTTTGAATTGTATGTAATTTAATAAAAATTTAAACAAATAATGTATTTCTCTTTGTAAAATATAATAAGATAATTATTAAAAATAATAATAACATAATAATAAGGTATTTATTTGATTATTATGACATATTATTTTTTTTTTTTTAACAAAAATGCATACAATTTTTAAATATTTCAAATTTCTATTAAGTATCTTAATGATTTATTCAGCTGAAGCAAAATTTTAAAAATTTAAATCATATATTAAGTGTTCCAAAATATACATGTATCGCGTTTATTAAAATCAGATACTTACTAATCGACCACTTTTCGAATCATCGACGTTACTTTCTCTTTTAATATACACTCTTTCGATGGCACCGTTATCTTGAAGACGTTTTTTCTGTAAACCATATGCGCGAATGCCTGGTTTATCTTCCTCATCGGATTCCGTGCGGATCTTTTGCACCTTACCGTCTAATCCAATTTGATTGAGGATCTGCACCCGCTTGATGTATTTCTCATTATCCGGAGATTTGCTCAATTGCGCGTGATCAGGCTGACCGATTGTTCGAACCGTAGAACTTGATAGGACATCAGTACGCTGTCGTGCCGCGCTCAAGCTCAGCGAAACAGCGCATACAAATAGCTAAAAAATAAATTAACTGCATAATTACGTGATATTGTAATTATAAATAACTGTAAACTATTTATGAATATTACATTTGTTGATGCTTTTATTTCTAGATATAGATACTGTTTAAGTAAAAATATATTTCAATGTTTAGGAAAACAAATGTTTAAAGAGAAAGAATGGAAAATACTTTTTGGAAAATTAATAAATTAATATATATATAATAAACTAAATAAGTATAAATGTTTTTATATTCTGTCGCAAAGTTGATACAATTTCTACTGTGTGACGAGATATATAAACACTATCTTTTGCGGTCTACCACGATACTCTTAATCATACTTAAAAAAAAAACGCGGAAATTACATTTTCAATGACATTTACTTAATCGGAATATAACATCGCTTCCGCAATCTCACGGAAAACTACTTAACGAGATTCACTGAATGTTTCTGTATACTCGATATTTCAGTGTCTCCTTGTGATAAGAAAAATAATAAAATAGCATTTTTTCAACGTTAAACGATTTCTACTTTTTATCGTAATTAGAAAAGTACAGTGTTTCTCTCACATTATATCTCTCACAGTTCAAAGAATTATTAACGAATTAAAAAACAAATTAAAAAACCATGTAAGATACAAAATTAAAATAAAACTTTAATAGACGCGTAATTAATAAAACAATTAAAACCACTTTTTTATTTTCACTTTTCACATCACATAAGATCACATTTAATCTTTATTTTATCGCTACAATTTTATTTGTTCCATTTAATTATTATCCGCCACTGAAGAATTTTCGTAATTAGATAACTTTTTCTACACTTATATTTAATGGCAAAATTACATATGGAAGACAAAATTTAAATATAACATTTTATAAATTGCTTTAAATTAAAAATGTAAAAAATTAGATAAATGCTGTAACAATGATCGCAACTTGTTGAAATGCATATAAATCATAAAACATTACGAAGAAAAAGCATTTAATTAAAATAAATAAATAAAAAAAAGATAAAAATAATAGATTTTATAATTAAAAAGGTATTAGTTTAATATATAAGTAAATTGTTATTTTCAATTCTTACCGTCAATACTATTCTCATTGTGCAACTTTCTTCTTTGCTTATCACGAATATTTGCGGTTAGCTTCCTTGCTCTTGCTCGGACTCTTAGTCGGTGTTTGAGGGAAAAGACCAACCGTACATCGGTTATATACGTAAGCCGGCTGCGATCTTGAAGAACGTAATTAAGCTACTCTCACATGGAAGTTTGTAATATGCAGATTCGTTGTAGAGTGAGAACGGTCTCGTTCCCGGTAAAAATCCCGCCACTGCAAGACTGCGGTGAGTCATCTTTGTAAACGAAGCGTGAATGGGTGAAAAGACTCGAAAAATCATCGTTATGTTTCTTTTGCAGCTGGGGATGGACACGGGTAAAAGCACTCGGTGGAAAAAAATATTAAGAGAACAGATTTTTGGCTGCCGCGTTCTGTGAAATCACGATCCGAGGATCTATGATCATTTTCTAAGAATTACATAGATAGAATTACGCAGACTAGACAAGTATTAATGTGAGATAAAACTGGGCTGCGCTTCAATGTATTGAATTTTATGAATTAAAAAAATAATTGCAGCACAGAAAAGATTCTTTTATATTACTAATTATTTATTTAGCTCAGTTTATAAAATATAATTGTGTAGTAAAAAATTACAATTACAACGTAAAAGAGAATAAATGTAATTTTAAAACATAAATATTTTTATACATTTTTTATTCTTATGAAGTTTTTATTAGTTTCATTATTTTATCAAATTTTTTTAACACTGCAAATATATTGTGCATTTTTATTTATGCTTGTCTAATACGCTTTTTATTGAAACAAATTTTTTATTTCATTAAAGCATTAATTTTGCATTTTTCGTCTCCCAATTTTGTTATTTTATAATGAACTTGAATACATGACTTCCATGTTATTTTAATAATACACACAATTATATGAATTGGAGACATTTCTTTCATTAATTTTAATTAACCACAACAAATTACCAAAATTTGATTTGTCATTTTAAATAACGGGAATATCGTAACTACTTCCGCTTTTCTTAATGTAAACCGAGAATATAATGAATATTTCCGCCCTTGCTAGTTGGCAGTGAGCAGGTGCTAAACACCTATTCACTGCTAAACATTGATATGCTAAACATCGGCACGTATGACTTACACGTGTAGTACATGTGCGAATGGTTTTCCCACTCTTCTAATGCCGATGATTCGCGATGGTTTTTCTTTCTTAAAATGCATTTTGTCATAGAAGCTATGTTAGCAAGGCATAATTTTTCATATTATTCTCATTATGATTTGGTACAAAAAATTTCATTCACTGTAAACATTACTTAGTAAAAGATTGATGAATATTCTGTGACTATTTAATTTCTTAATTATTATGTGTAACGTGTTTTACATTAATATGTGTAACATATTATATGTTATGAATATGTTTAATTTTTATGTGCATTCTTAATCTTATTAATTTTAATTATTATTTAATGTCTTATTAATTTTACTAAAAATGCTGCTTCTAGTTTATGCTAACTACATTTTGTGTGTTTTTTACTACAACAAAATTATACCTATCTGAATTTTAATTAAACTTATTGTTGTTTGTTGTGCATTTTTATGAAGCAAATCCAAACCGTAAAAGTACGGCACATCTTAGAGAGATAAGCAATCGCAGTCTTGCGTAGTTCGAATGAATAGATAGAAGAGTCAGCGAGTGACTAACTGTTTCTCCCGCAGGCATTAACAATGACACTATAATAATTTCTACTGTATGTATTCTTGGTAAGCATGCCAATAATCATTCATCGAATCTTTCGTTTAACGAGAGCGTGTAGGTTCGCTTAATTGATATTCGCAATTTTTATTATTGCCTGGTGTTAGAAATGTGTACTGCATACAAGATCTGTCCATCACAAACACATCCTTTCCAGTTGCATGTTTATTGTTAAATGACATACTGGAGAAACGTTAGATAATATCTAGATTATTATCTTTCAGCTCAATGTTACATGAAATTGTTATAGCAGTTAGTCATTGCAGATATTATTGTAGAAGATACGAATGCAATAATAATAATCATTCATCTTATCATCTATGATCATCGTAAATTATAGTTGTAACAATTATTTTCTTTTTGAAAGATGCTATTTAAAAATTAGAAATTTCTTGTTAAGGAATTCTTAAAAATTAATACACTCTCAATAGCAAATTATAATATCCTTTTTTTTATATTTTGTGGACTAGTGTACTAGTTTCGAAAGTAGAACGTGTACTAGTTTCGCTTAATCTTTCTCATGAAAACAGTTAAAGAATAATTAACTTGTATTCATAAATTTGTACAGCTTTGAGAAACATATTTCCTGTACCAAATTAAGTCTCTTTCCGCCTTGAAATGTACATTTCTTGTACTTTATATGTGTCAAATAATTATTTAGGTTTCCAGATGTCCCGAGTCTAGTAAATTAATCCCGAAGTTGCTTCTAGCGGTATTCGGACTAATTAACATACGCACTTTCTATATCAAAGTATCCATATATAATGTGAGAATAAATGTTTATCTGGGAAATAATATTCTCCGACAAGACTGTTAACTTTAATTCTGACCATGACGCGCAACTAAGATGTGAATGAATTAACAGATAATAACAGATAATTATGTCCGATCCTCCGATTTTGATGCTGCATTATTTATTCATTTATTCATCGTAGAAATGAAAAAGAAAAAACAAGATAAAATGGCAAAATACATTAAAATACATTTATTAAAATTAACAATTTTTTAATATTCTTTATTATACTTAACATATTAATTAATTAATTATTTAACATATTAAAATTATATTATATATATATATATTGTACTTATATATTATTAATAATTATTTGCTAGCTCAAACATTAATCATTAATTACTTAACATATTACATTAACATATATTGCAATATATCTAATTTTATATACTTAAAAAATACAATAGCATTCAAAATATTAATCGACATAAACGATAATTTTAGCAACTCTTAATTTTACATTTTACATGTAACATTGTTATCAATAATCATAAGAAAATAGAAAGATTATTTTATAATAATAAATGAACTGACATTCAATTTTGAGAAACAAGAACATTTATCACTATTAATAATAGTAGTTTAATAATAATCGTCTGAATATCGAGGTCTGTATTGATAATTGCGTCTCGGATAAGAATCGTAAGAATTGTACCTTCGATAAGCCGATCTTCTATAAGATCTCTGCTGCGCTTCCTGCCGGTACCTAAAAAGAGGCCTAAAGACGATATCTGCGGCAACATCCATGTCGTGTGGATCTTTAGGATAATTAGTATCCGCGTCCGAAGTCCAAAAAAGTGGTGTCACGATATCGATACGAGGCATTACGACTGGCAGCGATTTTTTGAAACGAACATCGTTCGCGTATTGAACGTTCGCCTCTGCTGTGGCCGGCTCATACAACGAAGGTGATGCTTGCATCTAAATAAAGAAATGTCTTTCAATTTTCTTTAAATATTTGTTTTTACATTTTCTCATTGATTAATCTTCAAAATTTTATATTTTCTAAAACAGTAAAAAGTTTTCTGTTAAAAATTGCCTTAGAGACAATTTTACCTCTGGAGGATACGAAGTAAATCGCCAGTTATCAGAATCCACGTTCCATGGGTTTCCATCGACATAATTTTGAACGTGTCGTTGAATTTTGCCGCGTTCGTTCTCCAACACGTTCAAATGGCTCTTCAGGGTGTCATCTTGTTGCGATAATGCCGCTGCGATGGGCACATTGAGATTATCATTGGAGATTTTCGCAGGATCGAGAAACGCAATGATAGGTACAGATATTGCGGGCGATGTCTGCTCTGGAAGCATTATTTCCGCAGTTGGGTTTTGCACGAGATACGGAATTTCTTGTGGTACGTTATCAATAGGAAATATTGGTTTCCGCGTAGAACTCTCGGTTAATGCTTCGTAGAAATTACTAGGCTGCGATACATAAGACGAATCATCTTTGCCTTCCTGGAAGATCATATGTTCATCAATGTTATGATCCATCATAAATTTTAACGATTCTTTCGTAAATCATATCAAACGGAGCAATAAAGTCGCTATATCAAATTAGACGGCTATATGGAATTACAAAATTAACTAAATTGATTACCAAAAAAAATAAGTTTGTTGTTCACGTAAAACAACGAATATGTTAAACAATTAAAATTTGCATGTTCAAACAGAAAACAGAACATTTTTTTCTATCACTATAAATAAATAAATATTTTTGTTTCAAATGTACACTTAATTATTGCCACTTTTGGAAATAATCAATTATAATAATATAATAATTATTCAGAATTAAAAAGAATACTAAAAATTAGTAAAAATATGATAATACGAAAAATATAATAAATTAATGAATTAATAAATCTGCATTTAAAATATAATTTAAAAAGTACTAATTATGCTGCACAGAAAAGAATAGAAAAAAAAGCATTTAAGAAATAAAATGTTATAATATATACAAGTGCGCGTTAGTGTATTTAGAAACAAATATAACATAATCAAAACATATTGTGATATCAATATAGCATCTGTTTTACCGGATTTGCATATCCATCTTCACCATCCTCAGTGAAGGACTGAATATCTGTAAATGTCAAGCCGTCTACATCGGTTTCCGCGGTCACAGTCTCTGTTATATTCTTCCGTACATCTTCTAAATGCATCATAGGAACGACGAGAACTTGTTCGCGTTGCGATACCACCTTAAAAAGAAAAGAAATAATATAATTACTACTCTTCCGACAGTACCGTGATAAATTCGAGTATTTTATATGTTAAATATTTTATTTGCATTAAACAAGAATTATTTTTACACGGAAAACTAACTTACGCGATAATTCGGAGCTACAACTACGAACTGCGAACAATATTGCGACGGTGCGTGATTACGTAATTTGTTTTGATAATTAATTGGCATTTCTGAACTACTGTTATCATACTTTAAAATAGTTCGTTACTGTTAATAAAACCTAACAGCTCTAATCACACCGATAATTAACAAGTATCGACAGTATAGCGGCAGCATTGATTTTGATATTATTTTTCTCGATAGAAAATTAATATTAATTTTAATGATTAATTGATAAAAGAAATAAATGTACAGTTCTTGCAAACCTTGGTAGGCTCAGTGGCGGGCATAACTAAGACCTTTTTCTTTACTACCAAACCCTCCAAGGATCCATTGCCAACTGCATTTTGCACAGCATCTTGCACCACCGGATCTTGTACAATGGCAGCTAACGTGTCGTTTGTAGTTTGAGGTTCCGTCGGCAATAAATTTGCCACGTCTTCATACTCTAAAGATCTTGCGTTCAATGTTCCCGCAAGCAGCAGAAAAATCGCAGAAAGTGTAACGCCTTCTAAACGAATCTATAAAAAGACAATCAATTAGTTATAAAGTAAACAATCAGACTGCATTTATTAATATAAATTCATTATTAAATTAAATTTACAAGTTTATTTCAATTCATTACAAAAAATTAAACATTTTCCATTTTCTCATTTTTTTTCCCGACATTTTTGTAAACGACTTCCAAAAAAGAAGACTTGCACGTTTATATTGATTGTTTCGAACAAAAGTATATATTTGTTGTACATTTACACACATTGTGCTAATTGCTACATGAATTGAACTTTTAAAAAAATAAACTAAATTTAACATTATAATTAATGTAAAAACGTACCAAATTGTTTTTCATCTTTGCGATGATGAAACTGCGCGAAGTTCTTCCTGTAGCTTCGACAAGTCTACTTTGCCAAAGATTTTCTAGCTCTGTCAAGGTATAACGGATCGTACTGGCTTTATACGACGTGCTGAAAGAATTATCGCCACCCCGCTAATAAACGTGAGTATCAACCGTGCGGTAAATTGAAACCTTTGCCAAATGTTGTATCACAAAGATTTTTAATCAATGATCAGTAGTTTCGACAAGTTGTAATCTTCTATCTTTCACATGTTTTTGTTTAATATAAAATATTATTTTTTTTACTTGGTTAACACTTGTGCGCAGTAGTTTCTAACATCGTCATATATACATTTACATATATATTTATGTGCAGCTCATGAGTCTTGCAGGATAATCATCCAATATAAAAAGAAACAAAAATCTAAAAATTAAAAAAACGTTGCCGAGACTCGCGTGAATGTATATGAGATGTTATAATATAAATTATAATTGATAAGAGCTTGCAGAAGTCTTATATTTCTTTTCTTTTCAAATATTACGCGTTTTATATTCATATAAAATATAAAAATTGAAAAAAAAAAACATTAAATAAAAGAATTTCTTGAACATATTCTGTTCACAGATTAATAAGTCGATATTTTCTATTATTGTCTGCATTTATTTTTTATTTAATCGTTGCAATTGTCACTTTATCCAGTTTAGTAATGTTCCGCTTGAAATATATGACAACTGACCACGAAGAAATATTTTACTTATCATTAGCGTACTCCTAACGATATTCCCGAGACCCAGTAATGTTTAGCGAGCAGCTTAACAGTGAATCCCCGGATAACAAACTATAAAAGACTCGTTTCAACTTCGTAAGCCGCTAGTCAGCAAAAGAGAACTGTACTCTTTGGATCATTTCGGAAAATCCGTGGACAGATCCAGAATGGAACGCCTCAGCATACTTTTCTTTAACCTCTGCTTTTTCGCAGTTCTAGTAGGATCAATATACGCGGATTCGTCGGCAACGACCGAAACTTCGAAAAATGGTGCATACGACATAGGAGACGTCAAAATTCATCATGCGGATCTGCTGAAGAGCGTCGAGAACGATTCTGAGAGCTCTTCGATGAACGAGAACCACGTGAAAGACGCGGCTGAGCTTGGACAACACCCTGCGAAGGGTTCGTCATATCCGAATAAAGCATTGGATGCATTCACAACTTCAGTCCACTCTCCGAGCAGCTCTATCGATGATATGCGACATTTGGGGCGTATCGGAAATCAAGAAGGCGATGCGTCTCGATCGGATCGCAAAGAGGAATCGGCTGTAGATTTGTCGCACAATATCCTTCTGGATCCTAGCTTAATACCAGCTCGTCCGGCTCGCCAAGCTAAAAAAAGTGACGTAGATTACACTACCGCATCGATTGAGGACATCCCCGGCGATGCTGAATCTCACAACAACGTCGAGAGTAGGAGTATCGATTCGTCACTACGCAGCTCGGACCTTGAGGGTGATCTCAGCGTAGCCGAAGATAGATATCAATCTCCGTATCAAGCTCAGTATCCGTATTGGTACCGAGGTCAGTTTCCGAATCAAAGATATCGAACGAACGACAGAAGAGAGCCTTATCGTAACTACTTAAGATACCCAGTGTTTCCGGGAAAATAAATCTTTAGAGGATTTCGTTGTTTTCTTCCCATTTTCCCTCGTTGCGGAAGCACTCAATTTACATAATCAAATTTACATATATCGATTCTGAAAAATAGAATGCTAAAATAGAAAATGTAGAGATAATATTGCTTGAAAATAAATGTAGAAGAGGATAATTTTAAAATTTAAATTGTAATGTAAAAAATTTGTTTTCTTAACAAAATTTCTTAAAAATATATAGATTTTCAAAAGTTTTATGAAATTATTTTACCTTGCAATAAAAAAATAAAAGAATTTTCAACGAAATAATGTGTCTGTTATTTTATATAATATGTTAATTATATTAATCACTTTACATTAATCACAATGCTTATATATTATGTTAGTTATAATTTAAATAAAGAATAAATATGGACAAATTTATAAATTTATTTATAAAATTTTATGCACATATTTGATTACATTACATAGATAACATTTCATCAGGGAAATTATATCACAAGGTAGTGTCTTACATATGCATTCAAGTATCCACAGTATCATTAATTCAATTGTTTGCATTATTCCGCATCTTTGGTAGACAGCTTTCAACAATTAATATTATTTTTATCTAATATTATAAAAAAATCTAACTTAATCCCGCTATTCATTTATGTTATAAAAAATACTACACGCTTCCTCTAATTCGAATTTATTATTAATCAGTAATATAATTAATTTCATAAGCCTAATTTAATAGTTTGATTTAAACATATAGCTTATAAGAGATCATACATGTGATCGTAAAACAGGTAAATGCTTTCCTGATTTTTTCGATCGCTCTTATTGCTTCGATGTTAAAAAAAGGCCTGGCTGAGTCAGTGAGTTGAGTTCGCACCCCGTTAATTCGCGCTGTTAATGCTCAAAGTGATGACGTCCTTTTAGCATAATTATACTAACGAGTTCAACGCCTCTTACTGCCGTCCCAAAATTCACCCCTTTTTGTTCGAAAGTTTTTTTTTTGGTAATCCCATTATTTTTTTCCAGCAATAAGTCGGCAAGAGAACAGTTTTATTTGCACCGAAAATTTTTATACAGGTGCGAATATTTCGCTTCGCTATTTACAAATTTGCATTTTCACTCTTTTGCGTTCGTAGGTACGTTTATAAATATCCGCGAGCTTTGTTTTGTATATAAGCTTGCGGCACGCTGCGGATATGAATTTCGCGCTAGAAAATATTATTGCCATTGTAGTTTGTTATTTTCCAGACAGGCGTTGGTCGTTATTTGACGCAGTCATCTCTTGATTATTCAAAACAATTCTCATCTCTGCTTAATGTCGTCTATCTTTCTTTATCATTCGATCTTCATCCACGTGAAATTTCCTGGCGTAATTTCTCATCACACACACCCGATTCTTTTCAATCCTTCTTTAGAATTTTAAAGATCTTTAAGGCCGTTTGAGGTTTTGTACCGAGATCTCAAAATATCTCGAATGTATTACCTTCCCGATAATACCGAAATGAGATAATAACCGTTGCAATTCGTGTCATTGCCGGATTTCCTAAATCAACCTTCCTGTCTCCGCCTATATTCGTCTTCCACGACGAATCGCGTTTTCTCTAGCGCGCTGTCGATATGCAATTTGTTGACGATAGACAAAAAGAGGACGAAGAACGTTCGTACCAGCAGCAGTTTCGAGATCATCCGTCTCCTCGACACTGCGTTTTTCAATAGAATTCGCCGTGTCCTCCGCGATCTTGGAATTGTTCAAAGCGTCCTCGTCGATTGCAGATTGAGGTATGTCGAGATCTTGAACGAAGACCGGCACGACAAACACCGGAAAACCGTACATAGTTGCCGTTCTAAGAGGTGAGGCATAAGAGCAGACGACGAACAACAGTACGAAGAAAATGAATTTGGCAGCCATCTAAAAAAAAAGAGAAAGGATTATGTAAAATTATAGGATTTATTTCCACGGCTTTGATAGAGGCTTTAAAGCTTCGCAAACAATTGATGACTCAAACTTGAAGAGTATTAAGGGACTTGAAGGGATTTTAAACCGATTGCAATAAGCGAGAGAAGTTTCATAAAACTTTAAATAAAACTTATTTGAAAATTTCCAATATGTATGTAAAAAAATATATTTAAATATTATAAATACATGTTTCTGACAATTTTCATATAAATAAATTAAACAATTACAGAATTCAATTAAATTTATCTTAGAGATGAAAATTTCAATTTAATATTAGACGTATTTTACATATATTTCGTATCAACTTTGAATGGAATTTTTCTAAGAAGAAAAATATTTTTATATTCATCGAAAAAGTATTAAACTTGTAATGAAAAAATGATAATCTTAGTCTACATTTCAATGAGTAAAATGTTAGCAATGTTAGTAGAGTGACAAATTCCGCCAATATTGCTAACATTTGGCTATTAAGAGCGATATGTCTAAAGACGAAAAAAAATAATGTTCTTACCATTCTGATTGAGAAGTATCGGATTGTCAACGATTTTCTGCAATGAAATCGCTTCCACAAGTGCGAAGCACAACGACTGAGTTTGCTTGATAACTCGTAACAGAAACGTCAGGCGTCAATGTGAGGTGTCTCTTTAAAGTGCGATAGCGGCGTCAAGGTAGCTCTCTCGCGAGTTTATGGTGCCTAGGATCGAGCCTTCAGTATTTATATGAAACAATGACGTCAAACCAGAGCACGCTAATTATACAATGACGTTCTACGACAGGTGATAACTAACCCGGTAAATTGACGCGACACACGCCTATCTTGGGCGTACGACGTTGCTTCTTATTTTATGCCGGTCCGGCAGGTGTTAACTTGACCACAAGGGAACGATCATATATCTCCCTCGTTGTTTATCTGTTTAAGCGCAAAATATTGATAATTTCGAGCGCCAAATATTTAGGATTGCCCAAAATTGTCGTGTGAATACTAATCAACCAAAACAAGGTAACAAAATCCAGAAAATTCTGCTTTTAACCATAAAGTGTGTTCTACTTTTGATGCATCTACGTGCTTCCACACAATCTACATTCATATTTTCTTCTTCATGCAATTAAAAAATATTTCTCAATTATTAGAATACAAAAGTCACGATTACAATTAGGTTTTTCCTAATTTGTTTTTTTTCTTTCAGTTAAAAAATTAAATATTTCAGTTTTGTTTGTGTATAAATTCTATCATGTGCATTTCAAATTTTTTATTACAAGATTTATTTGATTTTGTCAAGAGATCAAAAACAAAAAATTTGAAAGAAAATGCGTTTTTAATGTGTGACTAAACTTCATACATTAGCTTAATTTATATATTTTGGTCTCATAAAAATAACGAAGAAATCACAAGAAAAATTATAAAGATATTGTTACTTTAGAGTGTTCAAAATAATTATAAAATATCAAGTATAAAAGATTGTATGTCAGAGTATATTGTGATATTAATTCAACCACGCGCTATTATTGATTTGTATTTATTAGCAATTGATTTACCGCTTTTAATCGAAAGAACAATAATAAATTTTATAAATTATTTTATTTTTAATATTGTACAGGACATATTTTTGCAAAATATTTCATTGTGAAATATTTTATTGTCTAAGACGCAAACGTTGTTAGAGCTTCACGTGATGGCATAAGGAGGAGCCGTTTTTAGAACGTCGCGACGTTACACATTGTTACATCATTGCGCACGTGAAAACTTAATCACGTTCTCCTCAATATTGCACAACAGTTCGACATTCGAAAAACATCCAATTTGCGAAGTGCAAGAAGAAATGCTACTTGGCCCCTTAATAGAATAAAAAAAAATTTTTCAATAATTTATTTATTCTCAGCAATTGCCTTACTTCATAATCAAATATTACATCTGTAAAATATTCTTAATTAAATATTACATCTGTAAGATAATCCTAATTAAACATTATATCTGTTTAGAAGACGAATTATATCAGACTTTACGAATGCAAGTCTTTGTCCAATTTTTATTATTTATGATTTCAAAAGTAATCAATTGAAAATTTGTACTTTATTTTTGTTACAGATTACAAGATCGCCAAAAGACGACTGGGAAAGGACGAAAATAATGAAAACCCCTCGCCCTTGAATGTAATCCGGGCTTCGCGCGAAAGCAAATACACATACATCATCTTGCTTCTGTGTAGCAAATTGATTTATTGTTCTATTAAGCATCGTCATTAAAACAGATTCCCGTCAGATGTGGCTCCCTTTAAAACGTGACAAGGCACAAAACGGGGATTACTGCGAAGGACGGTTACGCGTTTTTTTCTTTCTTTCGATTTAGATCGTGGGCTCGGCCTCCTCGTGCACAGATTCGCCGCTTTCGGTAGTTTCGCTTTTTGATCTGAAAGAAATCATTAGATAAGGATCTCTTCAGAGTTTAGGATAGATGGACAAGACTAAAAGTATGAAACGACAAGAGTGGATTTAGTTGCTCTAAATATCGATGCGCGGAGGGCTACGCGAGTTCATATCGCTCGTAAACACATCGCGTAAATATTTTCAGAGTATATGCAAATCCTCGATTCGACGGTCAGGACGGGATTGAGGTCATAAATTTATTTCGAAAATAGTGTAACTCTGCGTAACATCGTTTAATTAAGACGTGACAACTTGAGTGGAATACTTAATAATTGTTCTTACACGATTTTCGGAATAAACGATCCAATTGACTCTAAGGTAAAGAAAAATATCAACAACAGGGTGTACTACTATCATTAATAAGTAACTCGTATATTATCGAAAACAAAATTCAGGACTAATCCAAAGTAATATTCAACACACGTATTCGATTAATTACACTGATACTAGTACAGCCATTATTGTTGTGACGACAGTCGGAAGCTCGATACAATTAAGAGAAATAATATGCGTACCAGAAGTCACACCATCTTCATCATCGTTCGCGAAACAAAATGTAGACGTGATGAGACACGGAACATATCTCGATCTTCGTTTGATGAGCAATTAAGATTTTAAAACACTCTTGGTACGCACAGAATTTTTCTGATGGTTCGTCAGACAGAAAGTGGAGCAAAAGGCATTAAGTAAAAATAAATCCCTTCCCAATCCAACGAGTAAATCAAAAAATCCACGGCACTCCAATCCTAATCGGACGATCTACCTTTCTACGTGGGAATATAAATAAAACAAAGTACATTGGGTGAATTAATTAATTTCAAATGGTTTTTCATGACATTGTCTGGGATCTACTATAGTTGCGTCGATGGTTCGTAAAAAAACATCTGTATTACCTGAATCCACAGTACATGAATCCGAACTGTCCGCAGAAATGTATTTTACCGAAAAATAAATTCACGGTGTGAAAGACGCACAATTGTAAGAATAAACGTGTTTCCCGTTGCTTGCAAACGGGATCAGGGTACGAAATCTACTATGCGAAATATTCTACTCTCACAATGCTATTTCCAGCTATGTAAAATATTTGCCAGTCTCTCTACGATGAGAGCGTTCTCGCAGGAAAGGAGCATTTCGAACGAATCGGCCTGACATACACGTGCGTATGATCGTGCCGCTTCGTTGCTTCTGCATAAATAACATTTTATTGCGTGCAAATCTTTCGTCTGCCGTTCAGCGCCTGTCTACTGCAACTCATCCCTCGTGAAACTTGGGCGAAGGGATGATAAAGAGCGATTTGGTGCCGCTCGCGAGACAATCGTCTCATAGTACCGCCTAATTATGGGCAAATATAAAGTCCAGAAATTGGATACATTTGATAACAGAAATGCTGTCGGTCGTAATATTAAATATTAATTCATAAACTATTAATCCGTCATATAATAAAAAAAAATTATTAGCAGAACTTCGAATAATTTATCGAATTTTGCCGATAATTATGCGGTAAAATGTAACAATCTCTCTTTTTTACTCCTTGCGTATTTCAATCTCCTTTCGATCAACTTTTTCCTTCGCCCAGTTCTTTCACACATGCGCGCTTTCAACTTCCGTTTTCTTCTCTTTTACTGTCTCCAGTTTTCTATACATTAAAATACCATTCAACGCTATAGTCCTACAACGATACATCGTAAATGCAATTAACTATATTTGAGTAGCAAGATGCAGAATAGGCTAGGGAGAAATATCACCCTACGCGGGTACCGTTGACGCTGTGCGATTAATAGGTGGTTGGTTCTTAGATTTTTGAGATATTTTTGCGAATGTAGAAACCTTCAATTTTATATAATAATTTTGGAGTGTAGTCGGAATTTTTCTCGATATCTTGATTTAGCAATTTTTACGTCTTTTTTTTCAATTTTGATATTAATTCTGTGAGTTTTGATAAAACCGATGAAATTATGGAAACAACCACTCATTTCGTGAGATGCCGAATTTGGCGGTCAATCGATCGAATAAGTATATAGCTTTCTTTTACTCTCACGTACTTTTGTCTTAATTCTTTGAAGCATGCTCACATACAATTGTCTAGTTTTTTTCATTTTGAGTTCGTGTCTTTTCGCGTCGGCGATTAGCAATCGTCAGTAACTGTAACAAGGCCCCGTCGAGTATAAAGAATGCACTATGTAGATATCGTGAAGTGTATGTTCTAGCCAGTGCGCTTCAGAAGAATCAAGAAATCGCTAATCTTCCCCGCCTCGCCATTCTTACATCTGCCTAATGCGTACATTCGATTCTTAATATTATTATCAATCCGGCTGCCAAGCGTATCGGTCGAATCATAATCGTTCGACATCGCCGTGATCCACGTATATTGCTTCGAATTGATGATAGAAAAATCCTGTCCGTTCGAAATTTTTCTCGCACGGATCAAAGTCGAACGTATTCAATTAATAATTGCATCAGTAATCGAAATGAATAAGCTCGAAATCCACACATTCGCGTTCCACTACTACCCTGATGCACGATCGCTCGGCAATCCGGAGGATTATAGTAAGATTGATTAATTCGAAACAGTCTTTTTCTCGAGACAACCTGTTTCCGAAACAGCTCAAGAAAACTTGTTACATCTACTTCAGTAAGATAACATGGCGGGAGACTCTAGTCTAACAAGACTGGCATTTTTCATTGGAATTATTCCACGCCAGAGATATGCGTTTTGATAACTTTCTCATAATTAGAAAACGAGTCATGTCATAAAAGAACAAGATTTTGATTGTAAAAAAAGAATTCGTGTGCTATTCGCAACTTTCTATACAGAAACGTAAAATCATGTACCATGATTCTTTAATTAAGATTAATTCTTATCAATTAAGAGACGAAAGAATATAACATGTTTACTATCATTTAAAATGTGGTGGGAGCACCATCGAAAGTACCATTTCGAGTAAATCAATCTGATCGATTTACTAGATTATCTACTTATATATTGTCGGATAATAAGAACGGCTCGCTTCCACGGTGACTATGCTCTTCCAAAAAGGGGAGAGGTTGCTACCGTTACACTATTTACCGATTGCTGTGATTTCACCCCTTTCCCCTTGTTTGTACGAATAGGCACTTGGCTATGTTTCTGTTTTTTTTTTTTTGTCTTGTATAACGTTATGTCTATTGTACAGACGACGAGTAGTATAAAAGGATGTGTCGCCAGGTCTGCTTTTCTTTTTATGCTTTGCCCGATGCTGATTGTGAAATCCATGAATACTTTTGAGGCTCGTGTGCCATGTGTACAAATTTTTAATAATTTGCGAGGAAAAAAGTTTCCTTGAACAATATAAAATTATAATAAAAAAATGTTAAAAATATTTTGTTGCGAAAAAAAATAATGCGAAACTGTATTCGCATTTTTTTTTTAGATAACGCTTCGAGATATGAGATACACGATCAACATCGGTAATTGATTCTTTGCATTCACACTAATTCTCATTCATCCATCTTCCGTCTCATGTACACGTATCCACATATTCACACACACACACACACACACACACACACACACACACACATGCACGCACATCGGTGTGCACAGTAGTTTTGGAACTTTTAATTAGCACCGTGTCTTCGTGACCTGTGAACTTTTTATGAGCGTATGTCTCACTTTCGGAAGCTTCGCGCGATCGCCTACAACAGGGGAGATGTGAGCGTCTGTGAGCGTTCGTCTTCGGCTCTTTTCTTTCGTGCATGAAACGGCGGTGGATAAATTGCGAATTTCGGAACCGTGCGAACGTGCCATCCTCGAAATTACATCTCGACTCGACTCGAAGGCGCATGGAAACGGCGATTGAAAAGTTTCCATACCGTGTTTCGTTCTCGTCTTCAATGACACGATTAAACGATCGTCGCGAGATTTAAGTCGCGTCATTTCTCGTCGATCGAATCGCCGCAGACTGCAGTTTATATACTTACATAAATAATATCTTGATAAAAATTAGATAACAATAGTATATTAGTGCGTAAAGTTAAAAACGTGTTGACAATAGAATACTGCATATCCCCTCGAAAATTCGACATCATGTTCACGTGGAATACTCTCTTTCTCTCTCTTTCTCTCTCTCCCTCTCATTCACTATTTAAATTTCTTGTAATGTACCGTCTCACGTACATGATCACGCGAAGACGAGCATGTCAATACGCGCAAGTTCGACGTGCCTGAAACCTCGTTGGGAGATCGTGCTCCAACGGTTAGTAACGTATAAAAGTACAAAATACGCTTTAGTGACGTGCATCTTTCTAAGACGTCGCGACGTATCGGCTTTCTCGTCACACTTCATCTTTGGATTGGAACACGATCTGACAAGTCTTTCTCTCAGGGTGACTTATATAAAAGCTCGACTTAAGAATACGCGAGCACTTAAACTCTCATTATTTACTTCACTCTTCTTCCGTCTTTCCTAGAAATCATTAGACGTACTCAGTCTTTATTCAACGCCCAATACACTGTGCTTGCAACGTACGTTATTGGACGATGAGCTGGAATTCACATTTTTCTAAGATTTTCTTTTTCACCATTTCCCCGTTTTGTCTACCGATTAATGTAACTTCATTGCCGAGAACTTCCGCAGTTTTACTTGACTGAATATTAATGGAGTAAATGCAGGAATACGGTTTGATTTAAAGGATAGTAAAATTGAGAATGTAACGCAGAAATCACTTAGCATCTCTTAGAAATGACATTTTGCATGTGTATAAAATTTTGTCACATCTGCCCTTTTACTGCTACCAACTCCCTAAATTTACCTTTTCGTTATTTTGATTAGAAATCAAATTAAAAATTTGTGTAATTTCGCAATTTTGGCACCTACTTTATCAATCATTTAATGATAAAAATAAATTAGATTAAAAATTTATTTAAAAAAATTAAAACTCGATTTATATATGGTAGCAAGAAATGTTCGATAAACACAGCATAACTTGATTTTTTGCTTGATGATTTGATCTAAAAATCCCCGAGTACATCCGTTTCAAAGTGCAAAAAATTTGAAGCTAATATGCAAATATCAGGAATGTCTTGTTGTAAATTAAAATAATTGATCCTACAATCTATCACCATGTTAATCTGTCAGGATTCGTATAAATAGCAAGCTCTCGTACAAGTTTTATCAGTAGCTCATCAAATGTACGACATCCCAAATGACAATCTTCGTAAAATATAGATATAGTCCATTGTAATAAAAAAAAGGATTGCAAATAACTAAAAAGATTGCAAATAAGAGAAAAGATACATCTTACTCATAGCCCAACAATCAAAAATTCAAGCGAGATTATCGTAGTAAATAAAAAAAATAAAAAAAAAAAACAAATCTTGAAATACCGTTTATAGTGTCGCAATTTATAATATATGTATAATCTAAATTTTTATATGTATGAAAATTTTTTTTATGTAGGACATTAAAATCTATTAAAATACCAAAAAAAAAAAAAAAAAAAAAATCTACAAAACTAAAATAAAATTTCCAATTTCTATCACGAATGTACTCATTAAACATTGTTGAAGAAATTGAAGATCTTACTTTCAAATTATTAAATTTATATTTGTGAAGAAATATAAATTTAATACGATATGAAATAAGTTCTTTACTCTAAAAAGCTAGCTAGCAATTTTGGTACTTTGAGATATTACTAACAGTAAATTCTAATTCATTTATTTAGAAATAATTCATCAAAAACCACAGTAATCTGTGCTTTTATTCTTTACCGATCGTTATGTTAACTGAATAACAAGGAAAAGATCGGACGTCAATTTAAAAATGTGCAATTGTTATCTATTTACAGAAAATAATAAAGTCACTCGCCAGCACAGCAAGACAATAATGCTAAAATTGATTTTTCATGATTTAACTTAATGCATAATTTTACACGCCTGTGCACGACGTAATATACGAGAGTCTATCATAGCCGCTCTAAAGAATAAGAAAACGAATTAACAATTTGCGGATTTAATTCGTATAATTATATAGTTTTTCGTATAGTTATACAGTTTACTATTTTTTGATAAATATTGTTTATTTACCCCCCAAAAAAAATAGTAAAAGTGATAGATCACGAAAAACCAATAATTTCTGTATGCTTCTTCTTATTCGTTACAACGTGTTCCGTAAGCGTATGTATCAATTAAGCTATGAACTTTTTGATGGTAGCCAAAGGGTTATGAAAAGAACAAATGCATATCCTAACATTCTAGATACTCATCAAGTAAATCACAATATAAAAATACAAATCGAAAGTCCGTCTTCTTTCTTCGTCTTTGTTGGTTTCTGATTCTTTCACTGTTACTCTGTACTGTTCGAATGTAAGCAATGTGTTACAGCACATTGTCCTGATTACTTCTTAGCATTATTCTTTTCTTGTTTTATTATTTCCTATTGTTTCCTTCTACTTATTATTTTAATGGAAACAGTTGTATCGCTGACGAGATGAGATTATGCTGCCAATCATATTACGAAATGCTTTTCTTAATTACTGTCTTAGAAAAACACTAACCAAGATAAAAATTAAGTTATTAAAATCTCGTGTGGTCGTGCAGATTTTAAACGTTATTAGAATCTCGTGTTAAGAGAGAGTAACCATTCTCAATTATCAAATCGTTTCAATATTGCTGACAATTCGAAAGTTCGTGTGTACGTGCGTATGTACGGTATCCTTAAACGCGGTAGATCTAACTACGCATGTACAGATAGTAATACGATAGCGCTACGATACCCCCACCGATCCCGATGCCTATGCTTATTGTAAGGGGCGTAAATAATGACCTCTTGAGCTTCTGCCATTCTTCTGTCTCCTTCTGCCGGCGTTTCATCTCCCTCACTTGTGCCGCCAATCGTTCGTTTCTCTCCCGATTGCGTCGACGTACTTCCCCCCCTTTCCTGTCTCAAAAAAAAAACACGAAATTTATTAAGTGTCACGCAAACGTGAAATCTTTGCGTTGGTTATTAAGAGATATTACTCACCCGTCTAAATTGGACGAATTCGAAATATCATCGGGAGTGACTTCATCAGGTACCGCGATATCGTCCACATTTTGGTCGCCTATGTTGTTCGCGATAGACTTCGTACCTGTGGATGATTCTGTATGATTTGGTGGTTCGCTCGGTAATGGTTTATCAGGCGGTCCATTTAATTCGTCTGCAATTAAAGTAAAATTTTTTTTATATATTAACGCAAAAACAATATTGAAAAAGATAAAAGTACCATTTTCAGTGGGCGTATCTGGACTCAAATCTGCCATCATACTACGTGTTAAAGATTCTCCTCTCGGGGGAGGTAAGGGAGGAGGTTCGTCGTCTCTTTCTAGCGAAGAATTACTTCTATTATTCATCTCATCATAATGACTCGTTTCTTCACTGCTTTCGAGAGTCTATAAAGTGCATAGAAAATAATTTTGTTAATTAATTATTAAAAATCAATATTCTTTTTTATATCATAACATTGTTTGATTAGAACTTTAGTAGAATGCATTTTTTTACTGTGATGCATTCAAATTTTATATTTTAAACCGAGAAATAATCTAGAATCCTAGAATATAAGATTTAAATGCATCGCAGTAAAGTTTTTAACAAAATTACATGTATTTTCTAAACAAAATATACAAATGTTATATCTTATAAAATATTAATTTAAAAAAATATTTTAGAAATGTGGAAAAATTGTAAATATTATTTTGATTAATTAAACTATGAATTACCGAGAGATCGAGTGGTAATTTTTTCGCTCCATCAATGATAGCAGCATACGAGAAACGCAATTGTTCTGGTGTTTGTATCAAGCCCATACGAGACCGTCTCAGTTCCAACAGTATCTCGCGCACATTTACGGCATTTAATCCATTTTCTTCGATCTGAAATTGGATAATAAGCTTGGTTAGTAATTACCAAAACATGTTTGAGAAAAAGTGCTTCTTCTCTATATATTGCATACCAGTACTAGGCATGTATCAACCAAACAAAACGTTCCAGATCGTCCTATTCCTGCAGAACAATGAACGATAGGTGGTCCGACATTTTGATCTAATGCTCCTGACTGCCTGACGTCTGCCAAGAAACGTAAAAAGGCTGTTGGACACTGTGGTACTCCAAAGTCTGGCCAAGTGGTATAATGATAATGTAAGACTTCTCTACTATCATTATTACCTTCCAAGTCCGTAATACTGTAGACAAGTTAAAAATATTGAAAACATCATAAAATTACACACACAAATTAAAGATGATTGCCAATTATAAAGCAAAGCTTGATAAGAAGACTATAGTTTACACATGTTTTTTACCGTAATGTCCTAGTGGTATAATCTGACGATTCTATCTTGCTGACATAATCCACCTTTAAACCGACGTCTCCGAACGTCATAGTAGGTTCCAAGTCGTCCAAAGGCCAATATTGATGGCATTTGACTTGACTCTTTTCAATTATCTTGTTTAACATCAATACGGCTCTACTATTTTGCTCCCATACCATTAGCCAAAAGTGGCCGACGGTATTTGGCAAGGGTCCTTGCGTCAGGATGTATTGCCTATGGGCGCGATCCACCTAGCGCACAAGGAAACAATATAATGTTTACTGCTTTTATCGCGCAAATGATATCTTACACAGCATATTTACCTGTATGAGATTGGCGTGAATATAGTCACATACACCCCTTTGAAGTATAATCCTAGTGTGATCGTACGGTGCCACATCTCTGTAACGATTCAAGATTTTGTTCTGTGGCTTTTTTGATTCGTTGCATGTGTAGTCGTAATTTCCACACTCGTTACGTATGTGCTGCAAAATATTAAAACACATGTGATTAATGATATTTAAATTTAAAAAAATAATTTTTGCGTAGAGAAAGGGGTGTAAAAAAATGCCAACTAAATTAATCTAAATGATACAACTTTATAGTTAATTTGAAGCATCATAATTGGTTCAACCGTCAAATCGAGTTTCAACTAAAAAAATAATGACTTTATTTAAAAATTGGGAATTAGAATTAAATTATTGATTGATATGAGCAATAAATGAGATATATTATGTTAGAGTATTGTTGTATAAAATATAATCGTAATAAAAGAAGACGTACATAGATAAAAATTATGTGATATAAAACTCAGTCAGACAGTATATAAGAAATATTAGAGTAGAAATATTAATAGTTAACAGGAATGACTTCGACAAAAAAATTAAAACGTTCCAGTGTATTGTACATCGCCGAATTTCTCAGGCATCGACTTCGGGGAAATTGTACGACCGCTAAATATACTGAAACCATATATTTTCGAGTTGGAAGCTTGACCTTGGCATGCACAATCACGCCGTTAGACACGCAAACATCGAGCTCGGGCATATACTATCACTTCCTGCAACTTCTCGAACGTTGTCAAATATGAAAATTATTTTTTTCTTTTCCCAGGAAATTCTAGTAAGTTAAATCGCAGTGAATTTAAAGTCATGTGTGTCGGGAATTCCTCGGCAATCGCCGATAAGATCAGCGTAGTAACGCGGAAGCCGTATCATGTTCGGAGAATTGTGTCGACATCGAACGACACACACACACCGGCTATTGTCTATTGATTCGTAGAATATTACATAGTTTATTGATTATAGGCACGTAGGAATGAAGCGTGTTAATGCGTTTTGTTATTAACAGAAGTTTCACTACGACCAGGAGCCAGTCTCTGCGAATTCAAGTGCAAATTTAACGTTGCAAAATATATACATTTTTGCATGCGCATGAATATATTCGTGTTTTGATTTTGACCGAATGTTATTCTATTCATGTGGAATCTAACGATTCGCGTCGGAAATCTGCATATTTCTTACGCGATAATGAAATGAGCTTACACGATTCAACACGGCGATGTTCGGTCGTTATGCATCTGCAATCACGACTGCTTGGCAGGCACAATATACAGCACAAGCATTTTAGCGAGAGCAACGGCTACGACTGCATGAGAGGGTGATCTCGGGAAAGCGATAACACGGGACGCGAGAGTCCGTGGACGAAAGAGACAGAGAGACTTAGAGTAGGGAGAGACTGAGAGAGAAAGAGAGAGAGAGAGAGAGAGAGAGAGAGAGAGAGAAAGAATGAGCGGCGACGAAGCGGTGT